ATTTGTCTGCCTTGTGTGTGCACCCTGTGCACTGAATAAGGCAGGAGTCCAGTGTAAAAAATAGAACATAATCATGTAATTAAAAATTGTCTGATCATGCTGATGTATGAGGGAGCAGAATTAAGGTTACACGGGCAGCTCTAAATTTGGCATTTCCTACATTTTGATTGCTTGACTCTGCAATGATAGTCTTTTAACTTTGTTTACTTGTGTGAAATTTCCTAGATAAAGGTAAATATAAGTTGTATTAAGTAGAATTGTAACAAAGCCTCATCCACAGCAATATCTGAATGCTGACCTTTCAGCATGGTAGCAGAGATTGCTATCTATCCCGCTCTAGTACAGATTATATTAGCTAGTAAAAGGAGGTAAGGGTAAGGCTGTTATCCCAGACTGGAGGGGTTGGCTTGCTGGATCCAAATATTGAATCCAGGGAGTGGTCAGAGGGAAGCCCAGATTGGCTGGCCTTTTCTTCCACTCCCTTAGAGTTAGGAGAACTGGCACAGAGAGAGGATAAATGGGCCGTGTGTGTGAAGCCTGGCCCAGCTGCCTTCTTCAGCAGCTCCCTACCATCCTCAGTGCTGTGCTGTCGATTTGGCAGCAGCATAGTGTGACTCCAGGCCAGCCTTGGAATGTTCAGGGATTTGGGATAGGCTGCCAAAATGTCCCTGAGGTACAGAAGTGGGACAAGGGACATGGGAATTTTCAAAGACTTTCTAGCTCAGCCAAATTGGAGAGGGATAAATTATAGCCTGAGAGGATTCCCCATGTTGAAAAATGCAGGTCACAAGAATTCTTTATAAAGGAAACTGTTGGGTAACTTACATAGAAGGGTTGCTACCAGCCCTGCTTTATAATAGAAGATACTGTCGCAGTAACTAAAGGCCTGGCCTCAGGCTAGCAACTAATGCCTTGCTTAGGCCTTACCCAGAGTGCAAGGTCAGGGTGGAGCTGTAATGAAGCGTGGCTGGGAGCTCAAAAGGTCTAAATAGGCACATAATTAGCTAATCAGGGGAGGGAAAGGTGGCTGACTGTTACAGAATGAGGGAGTCACCAAAGCTGGAAGAGATTTTTAAGGGATTTCTTGTAATTACTGTGTCCTAAACATCTCAGGAATGGAATCCTATTGTAGAAAACTCTGAGGACAGATCTACATTGCAGTGGAACAGCTGCTACTGTGCTTCAGTGAAGACGCTATCTGTGCCAACAGAAGGGCTGCTTCTATTGTCATAGGTACTCCACCTCCATGAGAGGCAGTAGCTATGATAACAGAAGAAGCCATTCTGCTGACACAGCATTGTCTACGCCAGGGTTTGGTCGGTTTAACTGCATCATTCACGGGTGTGGATTTTTCACACCCCTGAGCCTTGTAGTTACACTGACCCAATTTCTATGTGTAGACTTGGCCTGAGTGAAAGACATTTGGGCTATGTCTACACTCACGGCTTCTTGCGCAAGGATGGCTGTCCTTGCGCAAGAATCTGCAGAGCATCCACACTGCCCGCCCTCTCTTGCACAAGTAAATTTACAAACCGGCGTGGGAAGAGAGGGCTCCTTGCGCAAGAGCTATGCTCTTTTTTAACAGGTGTAAGCTCTCTTGCACAGGCGCTTTTGCGCAAGAGGGCAGTGTGGACGCTCGGCAGGGATTTCTTGTGTAAGAAAGCCCTATGGCTAAAATGGCCATCAGAGCTTTCTTGCGCAAGAGAGCATCCACACAGTCATGGGCGCTCTTGTGCAAAAGCACAGATCACAAATGGCAGTGTGGACGTTTTCTTGTGCAAGATGTTCTTGCTCAAGAAGCAGCCAGTGTAGACAAAGCCTTGGGGTGGGATGAGTTTTTTCAACTGACTAATCTACCCCACATAAATCTTGCACATCCTGGACACGGAAGAATTGTGACTGAAGAAACTCCTTAGGAAAGGCAAGAGGAGAGGAAGGCCCATGTGAGGTACTTGACAAGACTGTAGTAATTACTTAACTGGGTGTTTTTATAGAGTAAAAACTTTTAAGTGTTTTTTGACAGAAATGTTTCTTGTGAAACTACAATAAAAGGTGCAGGTTGGAACATGTTGAAACACGTTGTTGGCCACTGTTGCAATTATTGAAATTATGGAGAGACCCATGAGTCCAATATAAATTTCGTTTGCATCTGTGAGATAGAGGCATGCACCCTCTGGAGAGACTATTTGGAAGCAATGACCTAAACTCTGTTTTCAGTTATGCTGGTACAATCTGCTCATTGTCAAGTGTTGTACTGCATCTGTTAAATGTACCTCCCCAGAGGTGGCCACATATTATAGGTAGTAGAAGGCTTTCAATGAGATTGCATCTGTGTAAATGAAAGCAAAATTTGACCCAGAATTAAAGGCTGGGTTTCAAATAGTGAAAACAGATTTTTTTTATGTTAAAGGGACACAGGCATGCTGCACTTATTAAACCCTCTGAAGCTTCAAACTGAAATCTGTTTCTTTGTAATTCTTTTTCCCATTGCATTGTACACATGCACATGTGAGCACACACATGAGTTTGTACAGCTGCATGGAAGAGGATAGGGTGACCACACAGCAAGTGTGAAAAAATCAGGACACTATCTTGGGTTGTAGTTGCATTTATAAGTCAAAGCCTCTAATATCAGGATGATCTGGATAATATCGAGATGACTGTTCACCTTAAAAGAGGAGAGCACTTCAAGGTCAATATCCCAATGACAAGCTGGTTGTGTTTGGTTGTGAACTTAGCATCACTCTCTGAGCCATTTTTCCTGCCCTACCATGAACTATACTGATATCTGCTTTATATATGAGTTACATACACTTAACTTTGTAAGGTTGAGTCTCCATTTCTAGCTCTGTGAATTGATCTGTGCATCCTGTTAGTACTTCACAGACTATGGGCAATGCAGTGAACTATATATAGACAGCCCCCTTTTGGGGGTGATTTCTTGCACAGAGAATCAACATGAAACACACTGAACACAATCATCCTACATTTTATTAAATGTATTTATTACTGGTCTCTCATGTGGATTCATAAGATGGGTTTGCCTGCACTGATTTTCCTCTGCAGAGAATTTGAGCTCTCAGACACTATGAACTGGTCCCTTTGTGTCTGTCATGGTTTGTTGCCTCTGGAAATACAGCAACACAGGGCAGGCTGCTGAGTTTTCCAAGCCAATTGTTTTGCATTTGAACTTTCTTGGTCTTTTCAGTTGTGAGGCTGACATGCAAGAGCAACTTCTGTCTGAGAAAGATTTTGCAAGCCTCTTGCTAGTTTCTTCAGAGATGTCCTAGTCAAGCTGATTAGCCTATGACAGCAAAAGAGTCTGGCCACATAGGGAGGAAGTCTGTGTGGGATGCTGAGAGTTGGTTCTGCTCTTTTATACTAGTGCAAATTTTTTAGTATCTCTGGTGTAACTGAGAACAGAATAAGACTGGGAAATTTCTAGATCCAAGGGATTCATCAAGGAACTAGCATTCCCAAACCTCACCAGATCAAGAAGTTAAATGATCTTCAAAACACAAACGGGTACATCAAAAATGTGTGTATGTGTAGATTTTAAAAAAATCTCTCTAGTTTAGGCTGCATAGCAATATACATTCAAAGGCATTTCTAAAACTCTTGCTTCTTTTGAAGATGTGTTCCATGCTTAGAGTTCCAGTCTTGCAAACAGCCATGTGAGTAATGTTAGTTGTGAGTAAAGGTTTGTAGCATCAACATCTCAGGCTGAGATTGAAGAATTATAGAATATGGGAACTGGAAGGGACCTTGAAGGGTCATCAATCCATTCCCATGCCATCATTGCAAGACCAAGCATGGTCTATATCATCCCTGATAAGATGTCTGTCTAACCTGCTCTTAAATATCTCCAATGATGGAGATTCCACAACCTCCCTAGGCAATTTATCTCCTCCTGGAGAAAAAGTTTCTAGATCCTAACTCAGGGCTTTACTTTAGTTCATCCTTCTCAATAGATCTCCACTGCCTACCCACAGAGGACCTTTTCCCTTCTAGGTCTGGGCTGCCACTAAGCTGCCGCTAGCCCTGCAGCTCCTCTTGTATAGTCCCTCTTGACCTCTGATTGGCTAGTTTCCTTCTAGTCCCCTGGTGGACTTCAATATGGCCTTTTTGGCATTAGGGCCTACCCCCATTACATTTCTCTCCCTTCCAATAGGGAGGTCTGGCATCTACCCACAATAGTTTTAATTCCTTTTGTTGCTCCGCTCTGTGTATGAGTGGTGCCTCCAGGGCTTCTCCTCCTACACAGCTCCCCCCGAGCTACCCTTGGTCCAGCCTGCCAGCTCCCTTCCTAGTCCAGGCTGCAACTGAACTACCTCTAGTCCTGCAGCTCCTTTTGTAGTCCCCCCTGGCCCTTGATTGGCTGGTTCCTCCAGAGCCTCTCTAGCCTCTGGAGGACTTCTCTATGGCCCTTTTGGCCTTAGCTCCATTAAACTAGTGCAGTTAGTTCTCCTTAAGGAGGAAGCTAATCGATTTTTTAAGCCATCCTATTTTGTGTCAGCTTAAAATACAATATCTTACACTTGGGATGCTGCATTGTTGATGGTGCTGTAGGTAATTATCTTAAAAAATGGTTGGCTCAATAATGGATTAATTGAACTATTTTACTCCTATTGTAAGTGCAGATTTAGTTTTGACTGATCTTAATCAAGCAATGGAGCTTCAGTTAGTTTTGTGGGATGGGGTTTAACTCTCTTCAATACTTACTTTTGTAATTTGGGGAGGGAAAGGGAAAGAAATAGTGAATAATTTAAAATTTTCATTCGCAGGTATTCTTCATTAATAAATGGATCAAGGAGGTACGGTGGCTTAATGGATTTGAAATGGATGTTAAACTTTTATTACAGTACTTTGAATCTAGCTTTTATTATGGTGCCTTGAATCCAGCTAGAATGTTAGTGATTAAAAGTTATCATTATCTGATGGCTCTTTGTCTCAGGTGAAAAAGTATGTCTGAAACTCTCAATCTGTTTCCTAATGTACAGAAATCCCCACTATCTTGGATGCTCTCTCTTTCAGGACATTCTCGGTGGAGAGCTGAGGTAAATTTGCCCAATATTAAGAAAGAATTGGTAACAGAGCCATAAATGGAATGTAGGAGTCTTGGCCCAATACCTGATGAAGCCCCAACCCGTTGCATGTTCAGTTGGTGGAATGTGTCATTGCTCTTTCTGTTTAACATTCTCTAATTCTTCTCATCTTAGATATTTACTGAAGCTTTCTAATGCACTTCAAGAGAAAACTACATCTATTTATGTAGATAGCACACCTATCTGCTCTGCCATTCACAGAAAACTTCCCAGAGCCTCTAGTAATGCAGGAAAATGCTATGTGTATCTGCACCTCTAATGAGCAGCATGTCATCATATGTACAATATATGCAGATTTGAAAACACCAGGTATTTTATTCCCTGTGTACTCCACCTTTCAACGCCTACAAACTCTCACTGTGTACACCTTTTGGAGCTATTGTGTTCTAGAGTTGCTGCAGTTTGTTGAAGAGCAGGACATGATCTGTTCTCAGACTTGACTTTTGTTCTTTCCTAAACTTTTTATTAAAAGGCACTTATGGTTTGAAAATTCCTTTGATTTTCTATATTGAAACATTGCAGTATGAGCATGGATATATCTGGGTTTTTTTGTAGGTATAACAGGTGAGCATTAGTGGAGAGAGAGCAGAGACAGCAGCTAATAAGCTGAAGAACAAAACTGAAGTGAAAAATGTCTTACAGATTTTGTCATTGTCTGGGTATGGCCCAAGAGAACATGCTGTTGGTAGGGATAGCAAGCTTTTCTGAAATAATCAACACTTTAAAAATAATTAAAGTAGCATTTACCACCATTCTTTTACTCTGCATCCAAAATAGACTTAGGGAAACATCACTGACTTTATACTGTACTAGAAGACTTACCCAGCATTACTCAAGTCCATCGAGGCAAAGAGCTGGTGGTGTGGGGGGGCGTAAGAGTCAGGGCAGGAGCTTAGGTATGTGGGAAGCTCAGGGCAGGGAGCTGGGGATGGGGGGGGGTACAGGAGTCAGGGTTGGTGGGTGAGGAGGAGTTCAGGAGGGGGTTAGGACTCAGGAGTCAGGGCAAATGATTGGGAGGAGAGAGAGATCAGGAGGAGGGAATGGGGGCTCCAAGGCAGAAGGTGGGGTGTCCATTAGCTTCTCCCCAGGGCTGGCCCAAGGCTGGGCGGGGAAGCTACATAACTTGGCTGCTGTCTTATCCCTGGGGCAGTCGTGGGGTGAAGGGGAGACTACATCCTGGCTACTGGCTTCTTCCTGGGACAGGCCCAGGGGTGGGAGCACGCAGACTTCCAGCCAGTGCTCCATGACCCTATCCCAAAGATGGGAGGGCACAGGTGGTATTACCTGGGGATGGTCTGGGGTGTTGAGGGTTACATGGGGGCTGGCAGCTGCTCCTGGGGCAGGCTGGGATGACAGGTGCTGCTGGCCAGCCGCTGCTTGCTGCGGCACTTGCTGACCCCTCTCAATGATCTTTCTTATTCCCAGTCCTTGCTGCACTCCTGTGGCCATGAGTGACTATAACTGCTCTAACACACCTCCCTTTCTGTATGATATGAAACAATTACATTCCATGCACATTCCATTATCCTGCCACAATCAAACCCAGGTCTTGCTTTACGTTATGATTAAGAGAAAGCTGTGCACTGAATTTTGTGGTATTAGCTTTTACCATTTAGGAGGAGTTCTTGAACACATGGACTCACAGATGGATGGACAGACAGGCAGACAGATGCACCTTTCAAAAACAGATAGATTTACCCAAGGGGTTCTCACTACAGTTGATGTGTTTTCTCGTGCTATGTACACAGATAAAACACACACCAATCAGGCAAAGATGCTGATGTAGACAGACAAAAATGGACATTCAGGCCTAGCTGCACGTGCCACTTTGTGTCCTGTATATATAGGAATGTTCCCTGCTGTATGGCAGAACTTTGTAAGGTAAGATTGAAGACAGATTTAGAAGCAGATTGCACCTCAAGGGAGCTTGTGACTCTGAACCATTGGAGATGGGATGGCAGGGTTCCAGACCCCAGAATAATGAGCCAAAAATGAGCTCTGACAGGTTGCATGTGATGCTGCAAAGCTTATTGGGCAGGGGAACAACTTCCATATCAATATTGAGAGATAGCAGTTGCAGGAGCCTATGCAAGGAAAAATATTCATTTGATTTTAGGAGGGAAGAAGTAGTCTTAGTTTTTACTAGGGTTTCTTTACAAGCTGAGTTAACAAAGGCTCAAGAGTTCAGCATGCACCAATATGAAAGCTGGGTTCTTCAGATAAGTCCAGTGTCACTGTTGAACAAAGATACCAGATTCATGGACACAGTGATGATGCAATGCATTGTCACTCTAGCCTGGAGACCCACGTTCAAACTGTGGCTTGTTTGGAAAGTCTGATTCTAGTTTCTGTTGCATAAGCCCCCAGATAACAACAAATTGACACAAGGGGCTTGGGAGTGGAATAAGCAGCATATAGTACATGTCAGGCCTGAGATACATCAGGCCTGTGGGAGGGTCCAGAACTTGAGTAAGAAGAGGCTGTAATGATAGAATTAGAGTTGGACAAAAGACTTTTTAAGGTAAGAGATGGTGCAAATCCAGATTAGAATATGGAGATAGATTATATCTCATAGATCTGGAAGGGACCTTGAGAGATAATTGAGTCCAATCCCCTGCCCTCACAGCAGGACTAAGTACTATCCCTGAAAGATGTACCCCACATGGCCCCCTCAGGGATTGAGCTCACAATCACAGGTTTAGCAGGCCAATGTTCAAACCACCGTGCTGTCCCTTCCACTAATTCCTTCCCCGTGCTTCTTGGGGCTCTAACATGAGGTAGTGCATACACATTAAGGGCACCTTCCTCAAACTAATTTCAAGGCTTCTCCATAGAAGGGACATGCTATTATGATTTTGTTAAATCAGGAGTTAAATCAATTTTAGTAATTTTGAAATAATTTCCTAGTGTAAACATGCCCTAGGTGAACTAGCAACGCCTCTGCTATAGTGATATGGGCATCCTTTCCTGCAACACATCTCTGTCAATGCTTTTTTTAAGGTCAAGTAAAATATGATTTAAATGGATTTTTTTCATCATTGCAAGGAGTTGGTGAGGAGATTGTGCCCAAACTGGTAAGTTTACTCCAGCCTTGTGAAATACTCATGAAACCTCTGCTATAGTGCCCTGAAACAGGGCTTATTGGGTCTTATTTGAAAATGGGGATGGATTTTTTGAGGAATGTCTCTATTACAGTTGTCTCAAAAAAAAGTCAATTTCCTGGGTGGTATATCTTATCGACTGAATTATAACTAGGTTGAAAACAATATATATCTGAATACTAAAATCTTATCTCCACTAGAAGCCAGTCAGCCCTCTTTCCTGATGAGAGAGCCTATAAGGTTTTTATGTGAGATCTTTCTTACAGCCTTGTCTTGAAGGCTGTGTGATTCTTTCCATCCTCCCATCCCACCACTTCTCACTGAAAAACTCAGGTTACCATACTCCCTGTGGGCTTGACAACTCTGCCTATAGGTAGCCTCATCTTTTTCTCCTTTTTATAATGCTGTACTCATGGATTTACTGACTTGTCACGCAAGCTTTAAGTATCAAAATAATTTCCGAATTCCTGTTCTCCTTCTTTCCTCATTTATCTTTCTAAGTTGATTAATAACAAAACTGAGACACAGTAAAATACTTACCTGAAAATCAGTATTCCTAGTACATCAAAAATCTTAGCTCAGAAATCTTCAGTTCTACCCTCTTATAATAACTATGAGAAATGTATCTTCACTAACAAAATCAGGGTCTTGCTCACCTTTAGCACATGGGTATTTATTCACGGTGTGTGTAAAGCAAAGGAATGTTCACTTCTGTAATAAGTGCTGCTAGTCAACAATGATTCCAAGATAGTAGCTATCTTCCAAAACCAGATAACCACAGCAACACAACATTTAATATGGACTTTCTCTCCAAAAGCAGAATCTTAGAAAATGATTACTAAGATTTGAATCTGGCTTCTGTCCAGTGAAAACTTTGCAGAGCTAAGCACACTTTTCATCCTATTGATTATGAAGTCTAGTTAAGTTTTGCAGGAACTGTGAATAAGAGAAACTACATGCCTTGCAGGCATAAAGAGAAACTTTTAAAAAGCCAGAGAAATGATTGTCTTCTCAAACTATGGATAGATTAAATTATCTGTATCTTCCATTAGATTTCATAGTACTTTATAAATATTAATAAATTAAGCTCACTGTGAGAGGGAACTGATCCCCATTTTACAGATTTGGAGACAGGGACTGAAATAAGTGACATACCACAAGCACTCAGGAAGACCTATGAGACTAGAATCTGTAACATCTGCACTCACGTCTATCATTATTCTGCCATGGTGTGATGGGGAGGACTAGGCTCTGAGGTCAGAAAAGGACCCATAGAGAAGTCATCCAAGGAGGCTGGAGTGGCTGCAGAGAAACCAGCCAATCAGGGGCCAGGAACACCTATAAGAAGAAGCTTCAGAACCAGAGGTCACCTCAGTGTCTCTGGAGCCCTGAAAGAGTGAAAATTGGGGGAGAGGGATTAACCAGATGGCTGAGGGAGCAGCAGTACCATGGAGAGCTCCAAGTGGAGAGCTGAATAGAGACTATGATGAACTGTGATAGAGCCCTGAGGTAAAGGTGAGGACACTGTCTCCAGCAGGGGAAGTCCTGAAGACGCCACTCTATCCAAGTGGGAAAACAAACAGAAAGACAAGATGGACACTGGCAGAGGGCATCCTGGAAAGGTTGTGATTCACAAAGAGTGTGACTTGGCCAGAGGGCGGAGTAGCCAAAAAGGCTGAAAACTGAAGCAGTGCAGGCACGCGTGTTCGGCCAGACGAGGGCACTCATGGGAAGCGAGTGGCACCCTGTTAAACATAGTTATATATCAGCTCTCATAGAGCTGCACCTTGGACCACTGAAGTCCCTGGCAGAGCTCCCAGTGACTTCCAATAGAATCAGAATTGTTTTCATCTTCAGTATTGCCTAGGAAGATGCACAAAAACAGCACAGGACCAATGTATGAAAAAAATCAGGCCTTGGGAGATTAGAAAGCAACCCACAAGCAGCTACCCTGTAGAAAGAAATAGCTTAACACATTTGAGCTAAACATGGTGTTTTGTGAGGGGAGAGTAGGAGGAAGCAGACGGTGTTAAGAAGGAAAGGGAAATGCAAAGGGGCAGAGCATTGGGGCAGCTGCAGTTTGAGGAAGGAATCATTATAAAAGAAGGGAAGGGTGTGGGAGTAGAAGGAAAAATGAGACAGATGGAAGATCAAAGTGGAGGATGAATTATGATAAGCTAGGAAGGTGAAAAGAGAAGGAAAGAGATAGGAGCTGACTGAAGGTAAGGGAGAGCAGAGAAGGAGATGCAACTTGGACTGCAGATAGTCTGTCATACACCCATAATACCAACTGTGGCTTTGTCTATTTCAAAGTCTTCAAAACCAAAAGGGAGAATTCCAGTCTAGCCTCCTGAGACTTAGCCTATTGC